ATTTATCCCAACGCGACCATAGTGTACACCTTAAATCCCTTAACAAAAAGTAAATAAATCAAAATCAAATCTTGTGTTTGAAAACTAACAACAATCAGCCTTCAAAACAGAAATCAAAATCAAATCTTTAGTGTCTTTGAAAACTAGCAACAATGAGCCTTTAAAACAGAATATCCACTTCACTTTGAGGAACTTGCTACCATGTGCATTTCACTGAAGAAATGTGACAACCACTCGACCATGTTCATTGCTATTATAACAACATTCATTTTGCTGATTTGTCCCATTGTTAAAAGATCCTCCTCCTCCCCCGCAAGATTTAGCAATATTCCCACCTCCATTTCCCCCAGAGTAACCACCACCGCCACCAGCTCCGTTGTTCCCTCCACGAAAACCACCGCCACCTCCGAATCCACCCTGAAACGCTCCACCCTCTCCTCCCTGGATATATCCTTTACCTCCTTTTCCACCTTGTCCCCCTCCATCCTTTGCAGTCTTTCCATCCCTAAAGAAGCCGCCACCTCCACCACCTACAATGATAAAAACCTAATCGGTGATCTCCTCTAGAAAACACAGTAATTACAAGTTGACTCTTCCATAGCGATTCGTAATATTTTGTTTAAGTTTATTTCTTTATGTTTGGATGTTAATAAAATTTGACGACAAGTCAGCACTGCAATTTTGCGTTAGACTCGGTTTATTGCAGCTGTTTAGTTTAAATCCTCAATTAGCCGATAGAAACCCTTGTCAACTGTGTATAAACATCATTGTACAATTTTTAAAAAGCGAACGAGCGAAACTCAATTGAACTTCAGATATTGTGGAGAAAAGAAAAAACTTTAAACGTAGAGTTAATAACTTAAATAAATGAGGTTTTGATTAATCTTATTGTCGTCTTATTGTGTGGTAAATTGAACATACTGATGGAATTTTTCTCCTTTCTCCGCTTACCTGAACGTTGACCACTGGTTTTCCCCCCATGTCCATTGCTTCCTCCTGACCCCAGTGGCGAGTTGTTCCCAGCATTTCCTGTGGTGCTTATGGACGCATCACATCCTGGATGTTGTTCTGACATCTTTTTAATCCCCCCTCCACCTCCAGCTATGATCAAAGGCGTGTTGCTTCGTCTCACCACAAATGTACCTCCACCACCTCCGGCAGTTTTTTTATTTTCATCCCCGGCATTTGAATTGCTGGACGACTTCGATGCACCTCCTTTTTGACCAACAAGTAAACGAATGATCTCGCTTTTTTTCAAATTAAAGTTTCCAATCATCCTTGCCCCTCTTCCTCCGTTCTTGATGACACTGTGCT